CAATTTAATTATTTTAAGTTAACTTTTGCTGTTAATATATTGACGTATGTAAAGAACAAAATGTTGGCTAGGAAACAATGAACAATTCGATTGTCTTTGGGTTTACTGTGCATGCTTGGTGTTTTGTCTCCAGTTAACGATAATTTTCAAATTGTCCTCACATGACAGATTGCATAACATGCTTCCGAGAAAGCGAAGTATCAGTAACATTACGGCAATTACGTGCATTGGGTGTCGGTAGCGAACAATCGAGCTAAGTTGAATGACCGTTATACTCAGATGTATTAGAATAATTATATCCTTTTCGTATGAAATGTGAAGCTTAGGTGGATATAACTGTTTTTACACCCGAAACGTCAGTTACCGTTTATGTGTAATAAAGTCATGGTTGATGATTTTATAATTGAATCGTCACGGTAGACGTGATTGAATTAATTTATTTCCAAATATAAAGGATACGATACGTATTTCAGGTAATGTAGAGAACTAAATGCTGCTGACATTAATGACTAGTGGACCTGTTATTATCGGATTAAAATTGACTAATATTATATGAGAGAAATTACGCGAGAAACTTTGCAGCATTATTACTTTTCTATCTATAGCAATTACTTTTTTTCCTTATATTCCTTGAACCTTTAAGCAATCAGTGGTAAAAGAGATGTACTGTAAGTATCTGGACGAAAGTTACGTTCGGTCATCATCAGCTCACTACGTCCCCACCGAGGGGCTCGGAGCCTACCCTAAGTTAAGGGTGATTAGGCCAACCACCAACCACGCTGGCCAAGTGCGGGTTACGTTCGGTGCCTTCTCTGAATTCACCTTTGTATTTAGAAAAAATAGTGTCTCTCTTGTGCTGCGGATATCCATCAGCTTCGGTGATTTCTTGACATTAAAAGTTCTCTCGTTTACGCTTTATCATATAAGATGCACAGATAAATAAACGCAGAATCATAAACATACATATGTTAGACAGATCAGCTATTAAAATGTTTATTTTTATTGCCGCATTCAGAAAGGTAATGCGTTATAATACAAACATTTGAATGCCTTGTGAAGGCAGACAATGGTTAAGACTTGACCTCGGGCGCTTCCGTGCATTTACACCTTTGTTTTTATTGTGTTACAATTTTTCAAGGCCTTGATATAAAGATTTATCAATATTATCGGAAATTATACTTATCACATGTTTATTGTTTAATATATAGACATTACAGTCTACTTTTTTGACGTCAGTTACCTACTCAAGTATTAGATCTACTCATCTATCTATATATAAAAAGAAAGTAGAGTTAGTTACACTATTTATAACTCAAGAACGCCTTTATTGATATGGCTGAAAATTGGCGAGGACGTAGCTTAGAGCCAGGAGACGGACATAGGATACTATTTATTCATTTTTTTTGCTATTTTTTTTTCGAATTTAAGCCTTAAAGAGTTACTTTTTGTTTAACTTACTAATATTATAAATGCAAATGTTTAGATGGATGTGATGTGGATGGATGGATGGGTGGACTACACTAATTAAGTTTTTTTTATATAATATATCCACGCGGACGGAGTCGCGGGCGACGGCTATTTCTATATATAATCTTCATTGTTTACTAAAGGATCTACCCTCCCACTAAACAGACATTGATGTTTTAACAATTTTCTATCAGATTTAACTCATATTATTCATGGACAAAGTAGCTTTCAAATAACGATAGAATTTTTGAGGTTATTCGTTACTGCATACACCGAATATATTTCTACTTTATTCTTAGTGTACATTCTATATCATGAAACCTTATTTTATAGTTAGCACATAAATCAATCAGAGCGTATCTTAACGACACATCGCTGTACCCTCTGGTTTGTAGATCCAATAATAACCTGGTTACTGACACCTAACAGTATTGGTAGTTTCCAGTGGTACCGTCTTGACCACAAACAACGCGACTGGGTTTCAATGTCAAACTGATGCAATTTCATCTTGATGTCTGAATGTTAGAGATACTGAGGTACTAAGATTACATACGTATACAGAAACATTCATTTATACAAAAGAAAATTTACTATGTGTAAATTAAATTTTCAAGTAATGAGGTCGGTATTAAATAGTTTCGATAGTTTTGTTCGAAACGCACGGTTAATGTTAAAATTGAAAAGAAAGCCAGAGAAGACAAGAATGGATATTTTTTTTACTAATATAATTGTTAAAAACCAAAGAGGTTCATTGCAGAAACCACATAAGCGAGAAATGATAAATAGAGAAGTGCACATTTTTGTTTAATTTAATTGCCGAAAACATGATTGAAATAAAGACACTTAAAACTATTTTGTTTAATTGAATTTGGGATTATGTATTACGGCAATTTATTACTAAAATAGCGTACGAGTGGTAAGCCAAGGTAATAGTCGCATGGCTTCACGGAGATGAGAAAGTGCGACCCCGATATATCGATAAGTGCGACTCGCGTACATTTCACGTAAATCTAAGTGTCTTCCGAACTTTGGACAACAGGCTGTTGTAAGCCGGTTACCGAAGTACCCATATTTTAAATATTGTTAGCTCTAAATATTGGAAAGAGAAACTGGGAATTACTAAAGAGGTTTTATTTGTAATCAAAAGTTGTTAGTTGTACTAAAATTATTGACAAACTGGCTGATATTAAAAAAAAACAAAAGTTGTCTTGAGGATGTCAAATAGCAATCGTTAGTATCGAAATGTTTAAACGTTTTATTATTAGAATATACCATGATAATAAATGAAAATGTAAATGCCATTTTATAATAGTATAAGTTAAATGGAAAGCATCTGTAGGAATGCAGCGGATCTATAATCTAGACGAGTTTATGACTAAAATTGTGGGTGACCTAAAAAGATGGGTAAGCGCAGTTTTCTACGACGTCTTAACATGTCTCATTCTGGGCAAATCATAACTTGACTGATTTATGTTACAAGTTAAATGAAGACTTTGGTCTTTTTTTATGTTTATGGCCGTAAGATATAGTAAAAAATAATAACTGTATGTACACGTTAAATCTTTTTGAATTATATTTACTACTCAAGTTCGAATACCTTTATACTTATAACATTAAAAACAAATCAATGTATTCAAAATAAGAATAACAAATAAATGTAACATCTGGAACTCCAAATTAAATTAAAAAAAATAATAATTTAAGTAAGTTTTTTTTTAAATCATAGACACAACTATAAATAACGATTCAGTAATTTGAAAAATTATTTACGTAGTCTATGGTAATGATGAAGGAAGTTTATAACGACTACTCGGCGAGGAGAGGTGTCGGAGCGACGAGACGTGGAATGCCTCATCTAGGTGCGTGACTGCGCGGAATTCTCCGCAGCGAGGAGAAACGCTGACCGAAAGTAAAACTTGATCAATATAATTGATTTAACGTTGACGAGACTTTATAACAATTAAGTGGCCAGTGCGAAAATATAAAAAATATAAAAAAAAAATACAAAGGAAAATGGAAACATTTTCTATTTTTTATCCAAGATTTTTTTGATTAACTTGTGTTATGTGGCTGTTAAGATCATACTAGTACAAATCCTGTTTAAGGCATCAATAGTGATTTATTTGACATGGATTCTTTCATAAATGCGAAGTCCCGTTACATAAGCATTAGCATCGGTTCTAACGGCCGCTATCTTAGCATAAATGCAAATGATTGAATAATAATTAACTCTTGTCAATTATATGATGTACCATCATAATTGGAGCACATACACTGCTATCAAGGACAGTTACAACAGGGGTAGTCAACATTCCATTTACATCTTTATTCCACCTTGGGATTATCACGTTTAGTCAAAACTTTGTATCTGATGAAATGGGTGAACTTATTATATTTGACATAGTTTAAGTTAATGTGAAAAAGTTCTAATTTCAATAAAAAAATAAAGAAAAAAAGTTAAATAGGAAATATGAATTGCGTCTGCCCGCAACTCCTTTGCGTGGAAAAAAAAAAAAAACTTAATTATTATATAATAGTAGCTTAAATGTTTTTTCAGACAATGTTCTTTATCTATGTCAAATTTCAGCGAGATTCGTTGAACCGTTCCGGAGATACCTTCTAACAACCATCAATCCATCCATCTATTCATCAATACATCCAAACATTCCCATTTATAATATTAAGAAGTAAGAATTGTACTTGTCCAATGGGAGTCCAATTTGTCATCATTTTTACTATGATTTGAAAAAATCGTTTTTTTTTGTAAAAGAAATGTGTTTTAAAGCCAACATTTTATTTAATCTACTGCACCAGACTGCTACCTGGTGGTTTTTGCGTAAAATTCCGTTATAAAAATAGACTAGAACATATAAATGTATTGACCGTATTCAAAGCACGTCTTCAGTCCTTATCTGATCAAATCAGAGCAATGAGACGTATGTTAGTGAAGGCAGGTGCTACAACAAACAGGTTTGTGCGAGCTCACCGCGACCACTCTATAAATTATGTCCTGTCTCCAAAAAATGTGCGCCGAAGTGTCTCTTAGCAAACTTTTTTTGCTTTTTTTATTCGATGATTGTACTTCTTTTATAAATTCCGGTTATAAATACCTAAATATTCGACTGTGCATTATGGCGTTGTTCCGTACTAACTTGTAAAAATGAGATCTCATGTAAGAATGCTTAACACTTCATATTTTTGGTGTATGTCATGGAAACGTATTGTACCTTATGACAGTGGAAACCCACTATTAGATGATTTACATTTACTGTATCCTTCGTTTCAATTGAAAGCCTAAATTATGGAAACAATAGAATGTCAAATTCCACATATGGCGGCCATTACGATATTCGATTTTTTTAGTTATATTGCGAAAACTAAGAAGTTAATCTAAAATAAGAGTGGTCAATGGTCTACGGTTATGTGAGAAAAACTGTTTTACCAGAAATATTTTGCAATTTACCAGTTTTACAGTAAATTATAGTTTGTCTATTGTTTAGAGTATTGATTGGAATCCGGTATATATGTTTCAGGAATGAAGTGGTCAACACTAATGTTGCGGTGTGCGGGGGCGCGGGGAGGATGCGCGAGGAGGAGTTGGAGGTGGCGCTGAAGGTGGTGATCGTGGGAGACGGTGGCGTCGGCAAGTCCAGCATGATCCAGCGATACTGCCGTGGCACCTTCACGCGGGACTACAAGAAGACCATCGGCGTCGACTTCCTTGAACGACAGATAGAGTTAACATTTTCTCTTATTAATATTTTAAGAAATCCTAAATAGTACTTACTTCTTATTTAAAAAAAATAGTTTATATGACAATTCAAGGAATATTAACCGAATGAGACTTTGACAAGTAAGTGTGGTAACAACCCTTTAACTGCCATCTAATATAGGGTGAGAGTTGCGAAGCTATTCTGATATCCGCAGCATAAATTGTGTTCTGATTTGTCTGGTCATGTTCAGGTCAGATAATAGTTTAAACCCATTTGTAAATTAGATGGCTAGTAGTCATTAAGTATATGTATGCAAATTGTACCGTACTATTGGCCGAACTGCGCGGAAGACGGAGGATCGCGTACTGTGGAAGGCATTGGGCATATGACCAGCAGTGGGCAAATAAAGGTTATAGTGATGATCATGATAGGCCGAAAGTCGAAGATTTAATAAGATTATTTAAAGAGAGAGAGAGAGAAAGGGTTGACATTTTATATTTGAGAGTGGGCATTGTAAGATAATCTTCAAACCTATGATTACAATAAACAGTACATTCGACGATGACTTCAGCTAAAAATCAAAGAAGCGTGAGAATGCTTTCACTGACGCACCATTTTTTGAATAAATCCGTGACCGCTGGGCACACGGTCACCAATACATTTGATTTGAAAAGACTGTCCTATTTTCAAGAGAACATATGAGAGACAATCTCATAATTCATAAAAGTAATTGAAATTTATTATTCGATTTTTTCATTGACATCTAAAAAGCAATATGTACCAATAAGTTTGTACTACAACGTCAAAGGCCAGTATTTTAGCCTTTTGTTATTATTTTTAAACAATATTTGTCCTGAACAATTTATGGTCAATTTAATGAATCGGTTAACTGATTAGCGCAGAGGCTATCTGGTTGATTAAACTCGCGTGCTCTACAAACATAAATGCAATTAGGTTAGTGAATCAGTTGTACTGAAGATATGCCTTTATAAAAGAGCCGTCAAAAAGAAATAGAAACTTTGAAATAATTAAACAGTGATCAGAGGGCCTAGCACGAATATTTGCGACACGCGCCTTCGTAACATTGTCGACAAAATTTGTATTAGATTTGTTAGTGTATTTTATGACTAACGGGTGAGCGCGAAAACGTTCTCACAAATATACATGCTAAGTCCTCAGATCAGAGTAGTCAAGAACGTTTGTGGGAAAGTGGCAATATGACAGAATGAAAAAAAAGATTAAAGATAAACGAAGCAATATATGTAAATATAAGACGAGAAGTTTATAAATGAAGACTGGAATAAATAATTTGCAAAGTTTATACAACCCATTATGAATAAATACATTTTATTTTACGAACATAAATATAAAATAAAAAACTGTCACAGATCTATTACACTTTCTGAGCGCGATGAAAGTGAAAAGAAATAGTTGCCATGTAATTTACGGTATAAAATATTCATATTTGTCAACACAAAATGTTAATTGATGCAATAAATAAAAGGAGGTATTACAAACTCTCCCTTTTCAAATGGAATACAAATAGAAATGATTACGTAAACATATACATTTGTGTTCGATATTTACTATATTTTATTGTAAAATAGACTCTTTACTTTGTCAATAAAATTAGATAGCTTTATAAAAATATTAACATAACCGAATGGCGAAAAGAAAAACGAAATTAAGTTGATCTCAATTTTAACGATGACTGATATTAGCTCTTCTTTGCTGACTAACCGCAGATTTCTGAGAACAACATATTGTTGTCTCTTTTTTGTCCATGATAATGACAGGTATGACGATTTGTTCTATACAGAGATTATGGTTTCAACAATCAGAAAGCTCAGAAGACCGTTTTATGGAAATATTGCAGCTAGTATTCGCGATGGTGTCAACAATTTTAATGTGATAATTTTAAAATACAAGTCGTGTGAACTCAACAAAGTAATTGCATTGTCTTATTAATATAAATGCACGTAACATTAAATTTTCCATGGTTACTAATTATAAAGATGATGGGTCTTGCAACTCTTGATTTATTCTGACAACATTTTTGTAGAGATTGTTAGAGTTTAACAAGGAACTGATATTGATGTATAATTTCTAATTATCACTGACTTATCCGGCTTGAAGGACCATAATATTGAAATGCAGCAGGTTAATTTGATCCTGAGGCTCATAAAAATAAAGACTAAATTCGTATATTCAGGATTGATGGTGAGGAGGTGCGGCTGATGCTATGGGACACAGCGGGACAGGAGGAGTTCGACGCTATCACGAAGGCGTACTACCGCGGCGCACATGCCTGCGTTCTCGCCTTTTCCACCACGGACCGGGATTCCTTTCTTGCACTGCACTCGTGGAAACTGAAGGTAACTATGGAATAAACCTATTAACTCTAAAATAGTAGTAAACAAGGAGATGAATAGAAAGATATAGGAAAACGATGGAAAAACTTCGGAATGATTTGTTTTTTTTTTGTCGTTTACTCCTGACATGTCATATGATTGTCATATTTCAAATTTTCACTGGAGAGTAAACACAGGTTTGATGTTACATTTATTTCGCCTGTGATGACACAAATGTTTATAGCTCACTTTTGCTTTAATGTATTTTGCATTGGAATTTCATTTATTTGTAAAACTTATCCGTCTGTTGCATTTAACTCACGACATATAAAAGTAATACTAATTAAATTTCCCTTTTTATATGTTTACGGATACAATATTTGGAATCCGTGTAAGTTACGCGCAAAACGTGCCATATTAAGATACAGCATCAAATGATAAACGGGGTCGTAAGCCGAGATTCAAATTGTCTATTGGTCGCATTTATACCTACTCTCTATAAACACAGAGGTTCATATGTCATGGCCTGCTGTAGTTTCAGGACAAGTGAGTCACAAAATATTTTTAAAAGAAAGAACGTAATTTATCTGATTGAGGAGAGATATAGGGCATTTATCCATGATAAATTATAAATATGTACGATATAGGCTAAGTATTTTTACTATGTTGTCAAAACTAGTTTGTCCAAGAAGTAGGTACTTATAATTGACACAAGTGTTTATGTAATGCTTTGATTTACGCATGTTGAAGAACGAATTGAAGTGGTTAACGGTAGTTATACACATGTATTTGCTTACCTCTTTGAATAATAGGTTGTTAGTGAGTACAGTTATAAAAAAAAATATTTATAATAATAAGCGGAAATATTTAAGAATCTCTGTAATATAGTATCACATATCACACGACTCATAATCACAACGGGATGTTTACATTTATGAATTCGAACTCATTTCCGAGCATAAAGTTGACGAGGCGGACATTTAGCGAGATGCGCTCCCAAATTATCTTTATAACTTTTGCCATAATACTAGTATTAGTACAAAGTCATTGGAGTTTGAGAAGCGAAGACAGATGTATCAACTACTATAGAACAGGAAGGAACTTCGATTTAAATCAGATGAACGGTGAATTCTACGCTGTGTATTTCTGGCCGCCGATACAACGCGAGAGGGATACCTGTGGAGTGTTGAATTTTAGAATCATGTCAGATGAAGATGTGGAGGCAGCGACAGCTGAATGTGATGGTGTTATTGATGATGATGACACAGTAGTTCAAGCTACGTACAGGAATAGCACAGGAAAATTGGTTAATGTGATTTACTTTGGTAACGAAGAAGTGAAACATTTGATGAGGTCTTGCGACAAAGTGTACAAATATTTGTTTATTAGAATTAATGATGATTATGTGATGGGTATCAATTGCTCGTCTGGTGGCCGCGGAATTCTATTGGCGAAGTACCTACCTGGTCTTAGCGAGGTGCAGACGGTTGTAAGAGGCATCGAATTTATGACTGGCCGGGAGGGGAAGCCTGACTGCCCATTGCAGTAATACTGAAAATGTTTATATATAGAGTGTGATTTGTTACCGTCTATTTTGTAAAATTATTTTAAATGTTTTTTTTTTAATAAACGTAATTTAATTATTGATTGTATTATTTAAATGATAGGTGAAGAAAATTATTTGGTTATTTTTAAAGAAGAAACAGTGTATATATTTTTCTTGTAGATTCATTGTTACACTATTTGAGAGTAAGTAAACATCCAGTATTGTTACTTACTCTCAAATAATATAACATACCTTAGGCGTACTTAACACTGGTTTATTAAAATTATCAAAATTAAAGTAGCAGTAGTAAGAGTCACGAACAATAAAGATATGTAGGTTTTTTTAATAAGATAAAAGTATAAATTATTTTATTTACATTTACAGACACCAGAAATTTTCTTTTCGCCTTTTGACCTGTACAATTTTTTTTTCCAAAATGTGGTGTTAAATGTAGATACAGTTTAATTATATTGATAACAAATAATCTTCTTTTAGGTTCGAAAATACGGTTAAAAACTTCTTGTATTAAACATTCTACTTGTTTAATTACAGGTTGAGAACGAATGCGGTGAAATCCCGACAATAATAGTGCAAAATAAGATAGATTTGATGGACCAGTGCGTCGTCGGACCGTAAGTATTAAACAGTGGTAGACCACTGCAACATTTGTTGCACGAATTCGCCAACCCGACCGGTGCAATACCACGACCACACAAAAGACTGGCGTGAAGTGGAAGTAATTCCGCATTTCGTCTGATTATACGTTCCGGTGGCCTAATTATTCCATCCTTTTTCCTTACCACACTTTTCTTATAACGATAAGAATGGGAAGAGGAAGTGGATTTCAAAGAGAAAGAAATGGTAAGTAATGAAAAATATTTTTTTCTGTACGAGTATTAAAAATATTGCCAGTTGTCACTTCACTATTTTGGAGAATTGGGATAGGCGCTCATTTATTCGAACGAAGGACTTGCCTAATCGTTTTTTGTGCATTGTTGTGT